TTTTCCAGGTTTCCGCCCCATACAGTAGAACCGCCTTGACATTTGTATCGAAAATCCTGATATTAATGTGTGTTGACAGTTGTTTTCCCTATCCGCGCCTTCACATCTGCATCAGATCCACCGTGTTCATCGATTGTACTGCCCAGAAATGTAAAGATTCTCACATCTTTCGAATTGGTGCATTCTGTGTTGTATCGGAGAATCTTGCTTTTCTCTTTGTGTATGTTGAGACCTACTACCGCTGAAGCTGTTGCTGTCCAATGTATTCCGTGCTTCCGGCCAGATGTTGACGCTTTCATGATCCAGTCGATCACCAGGAGAAGGAGAAAGGATGAGAGCAAGCAAGCTTACCTGAAACTGGTCTTTACTTCGAACGAGTCTGTGAGCTGTCCTCTACGCACGATTTTGCAGTTTAATCCATCATAGGAATTCCGTATGATATTGACTATCTTCTGAGGCACGCCGTAGCGTCGAAAAGCTACCATAGTGCTGTCCTGTCCACGCTGTCAAATGCTTTCTCGTAGTTTATGAAGTTGATGTAGAGTGACGAATTCAATTCAATTGATTTTTCTACAATGATCCGTGAAGCTGCGATTTGGTCTGTGCACGACCTATCCTTAAGGAATCCTGCCTGTTGGTCTCGAATTTGGGTGTCTACCGCTACATCTGTCAAACATTCTGAGCTACTTGACAGTTTATTCAATTACAATAACCCTATATAATTTAAAAGGTTGTTAAAACAACAAGTTCGTTTGGCGAGATGTCACGAGTCACAGAATTACGATAATGGAATATTTCACAATGCTTCATCTCATCTGTATTTCAGTTCTTTTACCGTTTTTATGCTCGCAGAAGTAATATTAAACTTAGCTGCTGAGTATTTTAGAGTTCTTTGACACAGTATTCTCAACATATCAGTAGGTATGTAACAAGTTGCCTCATGAGATGAATTACCATTTCAGTACCTCTGTGAATAGAAATGTCTTCTGAATTAGTGACTAACCGAAATTGTGAAATACATAAGTTGGAGTGCAGTAGCACTGATTCCTAGCCACATAAACGTTGAAGCTCAACGCAAATTAGTGGAGAAGATTTAATTATCCGCTGGACACACGGATAAATTCGACTATAATTGAAGTGAATAAATTTGATTCGGGCTTGGTACTTCTGTGTACCCTCTTGCTTTTCATATCTAAAATATCATTCTGTACCCAATCTAAGCGTGTTCTTGGATGCAGTTAATGACTGTCACAATAGGGTGAGCTAGCATGTACAACGATATAACTTCTATGCAACATCTTAACCTCTAATGTCCTGATTTCTTCCAGATTGTGAACAGTGAAGCTTTTCTCTTGAAGGATTCAAGAGTAAAAGCAAAAACTACAATTTTCATTGAAATTACTTAAGTAGTGTACGCTAAGTATGAATTCTGCCGTTCTATAACACCATCTATATTATGTACGATAATTACTTGGCTTTTCTGACAGCTCGGGACACCAAGTTGATTCCAATGATGACTAAATGAATCTCCGGTGAGCCTAGAATTTATGGACGGCCTTTGAGCGACGCTTAAGTGACGTTGAGTATGTACACCTACTAAAAATGAATAAAGGTTACAAACCGGTGTGATGAATGAAAATTATGATTTGCATTTGATAGTTAGGGTTAGAAATTAGATCTAGGGTTTTTCATCATAAAATGACATCAGCTAAAATGCCAAAACGGCATTTGGAAAAATGAATGCATGAATTTCGTACCGACATCCAAGACCTATTATCTTGTATCCTATTGGTTTGTTCGCAAATTATAATCTCGCAGGATTTTATTTCTACCGAAATTAACGGGATCCCACGAACTCGGTGAATTCGCCAATCTGTGTATGAGAACGATATTTTCGGGCTATTTTCACAATACGTTCATTGTAATACTTTGGTACGGTGGGCTTGAGGACGATAAATCTGGATAAATATAAAAGAGCATAAGCTTAATGGTTTTGTTTCTTGGTCTTCACATCACAATGACCTTTACAGCGTAAATTGACTCACTCAAGGTCGTGGGCTTTGACTGGTTGTCATGTTAGGCGATTCTATTAGAAAACAAAATAATAGATGGATAACCTCCCTTCTGTTATTGTATATACATATATCAAAGGTTTTCATATGTTCTCTGCTTGCTCTATAATCCTTCTATTTATTAAGTTGATTCTTCAGTTCATAAGAATGTATAGCAACCCCATCTTCCAAGTTTGTGGAATTCTGGGTAAAATTTGAGGAAACCTCCTAAGTCAAATTTCCTTGACCATGGTTAGAGGAGAGTTTTGGGGAAATGGCACCAAAACCCCGAAATTTCCCCAAAGTTTACTACAGCGGCTTCCCCGAAATCTCCCCAAAATGGGTCAAATTTTCCCTGAAATTGGGATCTCGGGAAGATTGCAATTTGCTATCCTAAATCTGATCATTTCATCCACAAATATAGTCTCAAGATGAATGCGTAAATTGCTGCGACTTATCAGGTACCATGTTCAACCGAGTATAATTTTATTTCTCTGTTTCAAAAAGTTGTGAAACATGATATTGCTGATATTTTTGGAGCGTAAGTCAAAGCAATCGAGGAAAAACTTTGGTTGAGCTGTTGGATATGCAAATCATCTCAAGACCACGGCCTATATACCATAATAGGGTTACTAGCTAATGTGAGAAATTAATATTATTCCTATGTTTTGGGTTTTCATCACCAATCGTCTTCAGATATAACGCAGGGACTATAAACTCCGTTTAATTAATCCACTTCTCCTCATACTATAGCTGGTGTCAGTTCTTGATGAAAACCCTAAATCTAATTTTTAACTGTAACCGTCAACTGTATATGAGAATAACTGCTCTATAACTCTCATTTAGTGCTAATCGGTATGTGTCCACCCTCAGGGTCACTTCAGCGTTGCTCAAAGGTCGTCCATAAATTATATTCTCACCGACTTTTTAATTAGACTTCTTCACGTGCTAAATAACTTTTGTGAATGCTTCCTCTTCGTTCCTGAAGTGACCACCTAACAGAGGTTTTCTAACCTTTTAACTGTGTTTTCCCAATATCCACTCATATAATTGTAACTTTTCCAAGAAGCTACTATTCGCTTAATATCTGTATGAGGATGTAGATAAAATACCTTCCGGTTAAAGCGCCGGACATTCGCTTATCATCCTCTCAATTTCGTAAACGACACCCCCACTGCGAGAAGTCGGTGAGTAGGACTTCCCTGGCAGTGGTTGTATACACGTGGCCATGTGAGAATATTTCGAGGGGAGTTGACTGTCCCCACTCGACCGTATCAAGGCATTTGGGGGCAATTATGTACTATATATTATGGCAAATTACACTATGGAAGAGTTAATACGACTAAATAAATACTCAGTTCATCCCACCTATGGCAAAAGCTAAATACCCATCTGCCTAAAAACGACAAGAATGTTGATCTGTGAATCTTTAGGTTCTAGGATCGAATATAAGCATTAGCTGTTATTCGATCATAGTTGAGCATACAACATTAGTGCTAGGTGCAGAAAGCTAAGTGAAAATGGCTATTTGAATAATGAGAGGTGATCATAACGTGAGATACATAGACCCATATGGTCATCTGGTATAACAGTTATCATATGAGTAGATTAATTAAAGCTAAAAACACTCAAATAAATACTTGGCATCAGTTTATAGTCATAGAATGTTATTCCGAATTGCATAGGGAGATTCTAACTTCGTCGTTAGGGTATTCACAGGAATAATCGTGATATAAGTTCAAGAGCTTTAGTTGACATGCATTAAAATCAGTCTCTATAGTATAAATGCACCCAATATTTACTAACCCTAATATCTAGGCCATAATATTCTATAAACTTCATCATTCAGTTTTCTTTGTATCTTTTTTGTTACTTTTACTGTCAATAAATTGTAAGTTTTCCCTCGTGTTGACACAAAGTATTTCAAAATAGGTAGATACTTATTTGCGTTAGATTTCCCGTCATTGTTTGTTCGTGTATTTCCTACTCAAATTACCAGTGTATTTCACAGTATTTGATTGAATCTAACTCCAATAATCATACATTTTTCATAAATGTGAAACTTTAAAACTAGTAGCCGTTTGTCGGAACAAAAGTACACTAATCTTTCAGTTAAGGAAACTGCTGTTTAGAGTTGTGGTGTTTTTTTTACTATTACTCTTTCTCGCAGCAAAATCTAACGTAAGTATCTAGTAATAAGATAATTAAGTGCTACTCGTTAACTCTACGTAGGTTTATGTACTAAGTAAACATGTATTAACCATACTACCCTGTTAGTTAAATTAGTATGGTTGAGTTTGAGCCTGATCCATTGATTAAGAATCGAGCTGCCAGGTCACTGGCTCGTTATTTTACACTTAACACTGTAGATATTTAAATAACCCATTGTGTCATTAAATAAAAATAAATAGAATTCAGCGAAGAACATTTTTTTTTCGACGAAATCATTTACTTATGCTGTACATTCGTATTTATAGTTGTATGGTAAATATATGTCTATAGAAGGATAGAAATAAATATGTTATACACTATTTTTCATACTTAGAAGAAAATATGAGAATTACCTGTTATAGTGGATAGACAGGTTACCTTGTGAGTTGAATTTCTGCAAGTGAAACATGTACTGAATTCACAATCCGTTGACTAAAAATGGAATTCTTTGTCTGATAAGTTACAACTCTAAATTTTGTAGAAGACTATAACTCATTACTTACAAGGTAACGATTAATAACTTATACAAATGGTCAAGTTTACCTTGTGTCATTCTGAGAATATTTACGGGAAACATAATTATTCAACTATGACAAAGTCCATCAAGTACGTACTAAAGTATGCATACAAATCTTTCTTCGTGGGGTTTTTCTGCACGACTAGTTTTATAAAAGTTTTTACACTTACATTTTATGTCTTTTTTATTACAGATGACTCACATATTTGCTAAAGGATAACATGAATTCCAGTTATTTATTTAAAGTACCGTTTACATGTCCATCACAGTTCCCTATCTTCACACGTTCAATTATCAGCGTAGTGTTTTTTGGAAGCGATCATTATTCATTACCTCATTTACGCGCCTTGGAAGAGCGTCAGTCTCAGCATAAAGATATTCAATTATTGTTTGTGGTTACTACCTCGGATAAAACTCCTGTCGGATATCATTGTATTCAGAATAAAATAGGTATGTATACCACACAAAGCTTTTTCCATGGTTTAAAACGAAATCAGTACCAAACAATTTTATTGATATTGTTTTGATATAATTTTTTCTGATAAATATTTTTTACTATTTGTGTGAAGGCTAGTGATTATATTGCATAGCTACCTAAACTGAAGTAGTAGTGCAATTCGAACCTACAATCAGTCATTATTCATGAAGCTTACGTTCATTAATGATTGGTTTCCCATAAAACTCAAGTTTTATATTGGGTTGTTAACTGAAGGCAATTGATAGCAACCCCTTGGCCTAGTGTATTCATCAGTTGAAACTTGTTCTTACTGGTGTATCTCCAAACAAATACTCTATGTGGAATATTTCTCTGTGACCTAGTGTAAAGATGGAGATGTTACATTCAAGCTATCTAATTTCAACACATAATGTAAACCATGTACTTTTAGAAATGTCAGGCTATTTATTTTATTTTGACTATAATGTTTATTATAACATACCATTATAGTTTTATTCAAGTCTTGCATAATTAAAACGTTATTCATTGTCATTTGAACATAATAAACAGTAATACCATAAATATATGACATTTCTATTCACTATAACGTTTCGTTAACGCACGAAAAGTAATGCAGTAAAATTTTGTTGAAATAATGACAAACAATCAGTAAGAATTCTAAGCAATGCATATTCATATACACTGCTAGAATTACATAGCTTAAATTATATTACGGAGGTAGAAGTGTATATTATGATTTTTTAGTTTAAATTTAGTTGTCACGATGGATTGGTAATCATGATCTAACCCGTTTATCACATACAGATCCATGTGCTCAACTTTAAGCTACACTTCAAGTGCGAGAGCTAATCGTTCAGGCTTTCGACCTTTAGCCACTAAGTCCTTGGTTTGAACCCCATCCTACCTACCTAGTTTTAGGTGACCGATTAGCATCATTACCCCTCATGTTTAAAATGTGGTTCGTACTTCAACACCTTGCGAATGAGTTAATGAGAATAAAAAATGATTAATACTACCCGGTTGTCCAAACCTAAGTAAATTGGGATTCGAAACTGTAATGACCCCAAATGCCCTGATATGGCCGAGAGTGGGGTGGGCCCGCCCTCCCTCTCGAAATGCTCTCACACGACCATGCGTATACAGCTTCTGCCAGGGAAGTCCTACTCACTGCCTCCTCGTGGTAGGGGTGTTGTTTACGAAAATGAGAGGACGAAAAGCGAATGTCCGGCGCTTTAACCGGATCCCAAACCAATGGTGCACATGGGCTCTATTATCCTGAGGGAACAAATGGCGTGTGAACCAATCGTTGGTCACCGGCTACCATGGGACTGCATTTCCTCATGATGCTCCACTGCCTTGTGGATCGGACCTTTAGGTCAAAGGCTCGGGGTGTGGTCCCCTAAGAAAACCACCTGCTTCGGTCTGCGCACCCGGACAGTATCACAGCCCTCACACATATCAAATGAGATGTGTGGCGCATATGTATTTGGTGCCCTCTTGTACCAATATTTATGTGTTCAAATAAATAATAAATAAATAGTAGTAGTCCAAAGTTCAATACCTTAACCATTACCCCACGGGTTGACACACACTGAAGAATCTGAAAGTCCTGTATTCAATCCTAGGTGAGGCCATGAGTTCTCACCACACTAAAGAGTCTAAAACGAGAATAAAACATTCTCAGTGATCCCTGATGTATCCCCGTGGTGTAAACTGGCTTTGATTGATGTGATTACTTTCTTTTCAAAGAAAGTTCTGGGAAGGTTAGTTTTAGTTGAAAGTAATAAATCAAAATTACAATAGATCCATATCATCGTTTTGTCCTTTATCGTACTCATCTTCTGATTTCCATAAAAAGATCACGTGATTTGGCCACGCACACTTACGAATAATTCAATAATCATCAACGCTGTTAGTCAACGAATAGATAAATTGCAAAATATTAATCCCTTGGATAAGCCGGAGAAATTGTTAGGCGTAATTGTTTCATTTGGTCGATTTCTACCCTCATCACTCTTATCTTTATTCAATTATGGATGCTTCAATATACATCCATCATTATTACCAAGATGGAAAGGTTCTAACCCATTATTATATACTTTATTAACTAATGATAAAGTTACTGGGATTACCTTGTTCCGATTGAATCCGATGCACACAACTTTCGACTCTGGGTCTGTTTTGTATCAGAAATCCATTCGTCTACCTTGTAATAAAAATACAATGTTAACACCGGATCAATTAGCTACATATTTAATGCCACACAGCATTAATGCTATGTTTGAGGTAAGATCTAGTTGGATTCGGTTTCATACTGTACAATCGAACATTTTAACTAATTATCTTGATATTTATGATGTTGTATTCCAGTCGAAATTATGAATTTTTAGACGTCGCTCTGACTACTTATGTTCCACATTTCCAGCAAGATAGATTTTCGTCTAACCAGTGTCATGAAATTGTATAACATATTTTGAGTCGTACTAACATTTATAACCTATTCAATATTTTCAAACGACAAACTGAATGGTTTGATCTTGTACTTTTATGTCGTATGACTTTAGTTTGGCAAGCATTGAAAACTATAGAGCATTAGACATCTGTTTCATTCTGTTATGGGACTCAGCAGCGTGTATCCACTGTCCCACCGATGATTGAACCGAAGACCTACTGGCCTCATAACGAGCACTTAACCGACATGATTACAGTCAAGTTTTCAGTTAAGTGTGTACTGTAGTGCATTTAAAGCAAAAGAATACTCAGGCTTAACGACTAGATAGTCCCAAAGATTGTGGACAATACGTCACTCAGTAGAGTTTTTTTTAAAGTTCATCAATAGAACAGAAAGCACTTACATAAGTGTACCTTTTTATTGATGGTCAATTAGTAACAATTTTCGGAGCGACCGAAAATAGTGTGGCTTACTGAAATGGTAGAGGTTGTAGCTCAGAAGACGAGTTTTGGAACCATCATGTTCTACATGCTAGATAGTTTGGTTGTTCACCTTCTTCTCTTTCTGAGCATGAACATTATATCTTTACAATTGGTTGATCACTGGGTGGTGATCAATGTCATGTGTATCAGGTCCTTCTTAATGCAGATCGGATCCTATCGACCAAGCTGCAATGTGGCCACTAGTCTAGGTGACTCGACATTGCGTGCACTATGTTTAAATATGATGGTAGTTGGAGGTAGTCAGCAGGAAACCCTGGGCCTAGGTTTCGTGCTACTTGGCACTCATTAGCAATATGCACCTATAATCTTGAGGGAACTGATGCTCTATGACGGACCTGACACACATGACATTTATCACCTTTCAGTGATCAATCAATTGTAAATATATCTCAGTCCTACAGGAGGTAAGTCGTGGCCCGAACAGCCCAGTAGTAACATCTCTAACTGTGAAGCTGGTTGACATGGGATCAAATCCATCAGGGAGTATCAGTTCCCTCAAGATTATAGGTACACATTGCTGACGAGTGCCAGGTAGCATGAAACCTATATCCAGGGTTTCCTGTTGACTACCTCCAACCACCACATTAGACCTTCCTCGTCAGAGAATATAGGATCGCCAAAAGTTAAGCTTATATTCGAAAGCTCAATCGAAGAAGAGATATGTACTCCAATTAAATAAGTAAGAACTAAACCAAAAAGTTTGCTATTAATTAGCAAAAAAGCACACAGTTGATTCCATCAGTAATATCAATGATTAACGAAAATAAATTAAGCATTCTGGAGATTAAACAAGACTTTCAAAATAAACAAGATTTTAGTGACACGTATGAGAGAGGTTAAAAGAAGGAAGGTGGTTATAAAACACTACTGCCAATAGAAATTTAAACTAAGACATTGAAATAAGATCATAAACGAATGAGAAAAGTGGCTCATTGCGACAATGCAACCATACATTTATTGCACACAAGTCATGAAAATTATATAAAATACTCAAACTATTGGTTATTTTTAAGTAGTGTACCGTAACAACATACAAAAAACAAGCAAAGGATGAAGTCCATGTAAAACACTTGTCACATCATGTGTCATCTATCCTAGTATCATCATTACGATATTTATATTATTGGTTTTATAGGTCATTTTATATCCCAACTTACCATATTTAGTCGGTGTTGATCAATCGGTGATTTCAGCGAAATTTCAACTTCCAATAACGTATGCTCGTAAGCCTCAACCCCACATGGGTTTGATAAATTGGCAGGAACAATCAGCTGAAGATATAATTCGATATTGGCATGCATTTCAAGGCACTTGTGTAAATGTATTTACGGAGCTTTGTTTACTGAACACTGTACAAGAAGAGAAAGAGAATAACTCTTTAATTGCAAATTTTCGTCTATCCGAATGTCCATTGTTGGTACCACACATTGATCGTGCTTCTAGCAATAACAATCGCCAGAATAATGCTGAAGCTGCCGATATATACTGTCCAAATTATGAGCCCAAAGTTTGTGGTATTATAATATTTATTTTTAAATTCATTTCAACTGCGGACTGACGTTAGTTGGAGAAACCTGTTGAAAACCAGGAAACACTATACAGTTGTTTCCTTCTAGCTTGAAACTACTCAACAGTGCACACTCACTACCTTACCAGTCAAATTGAACCTAGCACCTCCAAATCTTGAAACAGAGTGAATGGCTAACATGCTTGACTTTCGACCAATCAGTCTCAGATTCGAAGCCTCTAGAACCTACTTCGTTTTGGTTATTCAGTTAGAACCGAACCAGTACTTAGTAAATAATTAAGGTATATAAATTCAATAAATTAAAATTAGGTCACGATATTTACACGTAAATCAATAAACATCACGATACAGTATTCCATAAACCATATTTCCAAATCCAATCAATTTCCAAGTTATTATGATTATTCGTAGGTGATGGATAGTCTTGATGGTATAACGGAGGAATAAAAATAGTTTCTGTTTGCCAAGTTGTACTACTATTATACGATAATATGACTGGGAATCGATATTATATTACCGCTAGACTAGATACGCGATCGGTTGATATGATATGCACAGACTGGATCACATTATACCAGACAAAATATTCACGACCAAATCTTTAGAATCAGAGGATAGGCTAGACAATACTTTACTCAGCACAATTAGCAGCACTACACTCAGTGAATCTAGAGTATAAATCAATGATAAGAAGAAAGTTCGATATTAAATAGTTAGTAAGTTTTGTCTGTCTGTTCGTGCTCGGTAGCCAATTAAATCTAACTTCCAATTGTCGCACACTAATTGACATGAAAATACGTAGATTTAACATACTACTTAAAAATTTCTATGACATATGTAAATTGTTTGGTTAGTTAGTTGATTGATTTATTTATTTATTTGAACACATAAATATTGGTACAAGGGGGCACCAAATATATATGCGCCACACAAAACAATGATAATTTGAAGAGGAGGAGAGAAAAAAGTAATGAACGTAGAGAATTATAAAAAAAAGAGAGAGAGAACAATAATGGGGGAAACGGAAAGGTACAATCAGAAGAAATCTTCCAGTTAAAGATGATACAACCACTTTTTATGAAGAAAGTAAAGGAAGGTTACATCAGGATCGCCACTGGCGTCTATTCTGAGCCATATCTGATAACGTCTCTAGCCACTGTGTTACGCCATCTCTCGGACCCCAGCCAGGGAGTCGTGAAGGACCAACAGAAGCTAGCCCTTTGCAGCTTTCTTTCATACCACGACACCATGTCATATACTGACCACCTCCGCTTTTCCCAATCAGTCCCAGAGTGGGCAAATAATGCACGACGTGGAATTCTCTGGGACGACATTCGTAGAACATGTCCAAGCCACCGAAGTCGGTGTTTCAAGATGGTGACACTAATTGAATTATCATCGCTGTGCCCGAACACACGATGCCGAACCTCTGCATTGCTAACATGGTGTTGCCACTGGATGTCTGCAATCCTTCGGAGAGAGCGATGATCGAACACAGAGTCGTCTAACGTCCTCAACTCGGAGGCCAGGTTTCACAAGCACAGAGCAAAACTGCTCTCACCGACGCATTGTAGATCCGACCTTTTACAGCCAGACTAACGTGACGAAGGTGCCAAAGATGGCCCAGATTGGCATAAGCCACTCTGGCTTTCACTACACATGCATTGATCTCATCACTCACCCCACCACCAGCACTTATGCAGCTACCTAGATACACGAACTTCTCGACTACTTCTATCTGCTCACCATCCAGAGTGAGTACAGGATTAGAATCCTGTCAGTCTTGTAAAAGTACTTTGCACTTCGAAGGTGCAAAGCACATATCATACTTACGGACATTGATTGCCAACTGATTAAGTGCAGATTGCATGGCTTGGGCATTATCGCACAGTAAGACAATATCATCCGCATACTCAAGGTCGAGAAGTCTTTCTCCAGGCAACAGATCCACACCACCATTACTTACATCCATCAGAGCTGTTTCCAGAATGTCATCGATGGCAAAATTGAAGAGGAATGGTGAGATTGGGCAACCCTGTCTAACCCCACTGCTTGAATGGAACAATGGAGAAAGGTAGTTGTATGCCCTCACTCTGCCTGAGGTGTTTTTATATATGGCTTTTAGGATGTTAATAAACTTCTCAGGCACACCCTTCTTCAATAGACAATCCCAGAGAACAGTCCTGTCCAACGAATCGAAGGCAGCCCTGATATCAAGAAACACTACGATTGTTGGCCTTTGATAAGTATGGCGGTGTTCTAACACTTGGCGGAGGGTGAAGATATGATCAATACATCCTCAACCAGAACGAAACCCAGCCTGCTCCTCGCGAGTCAATCCTTCTCGGGTTCTGAACAACCTACGAAGTATGACGGAAGCCAATTGCTTGGACGCAATCGGAAGTAGACTTATCCCCCGATAGTTGTTACAGGAACAACGTGAACCCTTTTTAAAGATAGGGACAACTATCGACTCATTCCATGACGTTGGTACACTCTCTAGTTCCCAGACCTTTGTAAACAACGTCGTCAGCCCCTTAGTCAGAAAGTCACCACCATCTCTAAAAAGAGCCGGAGGTAGGTCGTCTGGGCCCGGTGATTTGTAACGTTTCAAGAGTTGGAGTTCCTTTCGGACTTCCGCCTCATTTAATGGATCAGTCGTCACCGGCCATGGAGGGCAGGACAGTCTGACCGATGTTGCCGGAGCAGCAGGCCAGTCGAACTGCCCTTCAAAGAATTCTGCCCATCGTCCAAGACGTCGATGGATGTTAGTGATTGGCGTTCCGTCATCCTCGCAGATTGTTTCGCTCACACCAAACTTCTTGCTGCCAGTGGCTCGGATGAGTTGAAAGAGCTTCCGGTAGTTACCAGATGCAGCTGCTGCTTCCAGCTCATTAGCACGCTCCGACCACCAGGCTTCTCGGTCCTTACGCAAGCTTTGCCCGATTTCATTACGTAACATCCTTCGTCTGTGGTCAAACTCACGGTCACCCGGAGTAGACCGACGGGCTTCATTCAGTTGTAAGGAACCAGAAGAAACCCAGTGCTTGTAAGCGGGACGTTTCGCGAATCCACGACAGACTTTACCCGCCATTTTCATGGCGTCATGCAATTGCAACCAATGCTCATCTATACTTCTCGGTGGAATGGTAGCTAGCTCGGTTCGGTACTTACTAGCAACAGAAGTTGCAACCAGCTTGCTAACACCAATCCTGTGGTGGCGGTCACTTCGTTGTCCACTGAAAAGTAAGGTAAGATTGGCGCAGACCAGAGCATGATCAGATTCCAGATAGGTACTCCAAAAGGAGCGGCAGTCTTGTACACAACCACGCCAGCGGTAGCTGATCGCGATGTGATTAATCTGAGTCCAGGCTTGAGATGCAGAAGGAGGACGCCAGGTGGCACATCGGCGATGACTGTGCCGAAAGTTAGTGCTAGCCAGAAACAAATTGTGGTCTGTTCATAGTTGCAGTAGACGTTCCCCGTTATCTGTCCTGCGACCAACTAGTCTCCATCGGCCACCTAGACGCCCGACCTGAGCATTCAAGTCTCCGGCTAGTGCTACAATATCTGTCGAGCGCACTTTCTGGAGAAGAACAGTTAACTGGTGGTAGAATTCATCCTTGATTGCATTCGGGCTGCAATCTGTCGGGGCATAGGCGGAGATAACGAAAAGACATCGTTTCTCACATCGATTTCTTCTCACTTTGATGGTACTTTCTAATCTAACAGCACATAACCGACTGTTAATGGGGATCCAGTCGATTAGTGCTGCCTCAGCTCTAGCTCTTAGTGCGACACCAACGCCAGCAAGGCCAGACGAAGATGCCACAGGGTTCCCGGATAAACGCACATAAAACAAGCTTTTTGAAGCGACAGATGGAGAGCGAACTTGTAGTACTTCACCAGAGTCTTGAATACGGGTCTCGGATAGACAACACACGTCAATATTAAGACTTTCCAAAGACATAGCCAGCCCTATCTGTTGTCCGACCTGCATAAGTGTACGAACATTGAAGGCAGCCAGTTTGAATGGTGTACGTGGTTTCAGAAAAACTGCTTTAGTATTCGTATTCGGCGGTAGCATACAATTTTCAACCAGGCAGTGACTCGAGAACGTTTAGGTAGAGCCGAATTTTCACCATAGGTGAGCTGCTGTCTAAGTCGAATTTTATTATTATTTTCTTTAAAAGAAACAATATACTAATTGTTATTTGATTTGTATACCAGTATTTAAGTCGATAAGTCATTTAATTTCCAACCAGTCAGTCAAAGTCAAGTCTATAAGCCACAAACTTTTACTTGAACTCTGAACTACTAATAAAGTTTCCCTTAAAGTTATAACCGAAAATATTACTCAAACAATTATCAGTCTATACTCTTTTAAATCATTTTACGTGAATATATAATTTTTATTATTTCATTGTTCATGTATGATTTTGACACTCAATAATTAATATGTACCATATAACTTAAGACATTAAAGAGAAAGAATGTATTTGTAAAATCTCAACGAATGAATTTGAAGTAAATCCAACGTTTCACCTGACAATCTTGTCCAAGCTCTGTCAAGAAGATATAACCAAACATCAAAATTATCGAATATAAACAGGTACATGGTTCTCCGGTTCACTGTATGCTGAATAGGTCGTCCAATTAACGCTAACAATGTTTAAAGTAGGTATTTACATTATTGTGTAAAAGACATTGATTGGATGTCGTATTCAGTATACAGTGAACCGGAGAACCATGTACCTGTTTATATTCGATAATTTTGATGTTTGGTTATATCTTCTTGACAGAGCTTGGATAAGATTGTCAGGTGAAACGTTGGATTTACTTCAAATTCATTCGTTGAGACTTTACAAATACATTCTTCCTCTTTAATGTCTCACATCAACCCGGAGCCCAAATACTGTGAAACTATTCGATCACATTTAGACGAAAGTTCTTATTTAACTCAAATAACTTCAAGGTATTTGAGCATTACTAAATAATGGAACTTTACAGAAAATTTGGTTGAATAAGCTTAGTTAAATAGAATTTATTGATCTACGGAGAATATTGTTTTCTTTATATTATTATGAAATTGCGTATGCAATGTACTAGTAATTAGACAATTATTACTTAATTAGATGATTTATTATGAGTTAGCATGAACTATGTAATATTATTGAAAATCAAGAAGTTGTGAATAATGGTTTCATCTTTGTTTGCAACACTTCAACAATGCCCACACACGATTCGTAAGAAAATCAAACTTTCAAGTTTCATGACAACCATAATCTGTGTTATTTTATAATTTACATCACGGTCTGACTATAGATAAATAACCTTTGAGAACCAGAAATCAGTAGACAGTTATTTTTTCCTAGGACTAGAACTAGAATCCAAGACCTTCAGACCACTGATTTAATATCCGGTACACTTCTAGCTTCATTTAACTGTCAACATTGTGCGAACAACAAAGTCCTATCACATTGATGGCTAGTAAATAACCTTACTCCTGATGTGGTTGGACTCTACTAGTCACAGTTGGTAATATAAAGGATACTTAACTTAAATAAGCTTTTTTATTATTACTTATGTTATTTTTCATAGATTATGGACTATCTCAACGAGGCTTCAGTTCTTCTGCATCAACCATATACATCATCATTACCACCTGGAAGTATTGTATATTTACGTTCACAAAAAGATGTGAAACATCATTTAATACCATACACTTTCATTGCTTGTAGGCCAAAGAATTCTTCACCTATAATAACCCAGATTAATTCTGTATCATGGTTAGCTGTTAAAAGTTTTTTAGTGAATTGGCCTAATTCATCAACGAACAGTCGACATTTAACAGCTATTGATTTATATAATGGTTATTTTTTAAAATATATTCAATTACTATCATCGACACTCTCAATATCTGTAGTAAATGAAGGGCAACATTCTCGACAATTAGGTGTACGTTATTTTGGTGAGTTTCGGTCTAACCCTTCGTCTACATCATCTTTACTAAGTGGTAATAATAACGATGGTAATACCTTAATAAAACCTTGGAATGAACTAACACCGACTATTCTACCTTCTGATTTACAATCATCATTTGATATGTCAATCATTGTAAAAAATGTACATAGTTGATAGTTTAAATAAATGTTTTTAATAATAAAAACAATTTGTTTTATTCTTTTTTTCTTGACTAAAAAACATCGAAAGTTAGACTTGATTAATATACATAGAAAAGTTAATAATCTCTTATCTATTAAAATGAACTCAAGTGAGAAGTGTGGTTAAATGTAGGGTATTAGGTTAAGATGGCTTATCAGTTAGTGAGGTTGTGAATCTTTATCGAGCGAGATAGCTACATATGTCTAAATACCATCTACCTCAACTCTTGATGCTTACTGACGTGGAAGTACGCTGACAAAAAAACATAGTTTCAGTCCATGAAGTTAATTAGCGTTCGTCTGAAACCTGTTGGTCGGTGCATACTACTTGTTTGTGATCCATGGAATTAACGTAACCAATGGCTGCTTACGTTGAATGACATATCTCAATCGGTTGCAATGACGCAGACTCATTCACTATTTGCTTTCCATTTGATATTCAGTTTTAAAATTGTCCCATACATTTATTCTGTAGATTCATTCTTCTCGAATTAAATTGTCTTTTCTTAATATTTTCTACGATTATTGATACTTTTACTACTCCTTTTTCTCGGATGCTTATCTTGATAATTTCATCCCACTACGCTTATGTAGTGTTAGGCTAAACCAATACATGTATGTGCCAGGTTTTACCTTGCTTAAGACTAACATTAAAATTAAATCCATGCGGAAAATCAGATTTGGAGTAAATAGCTCTGAACTTATTTGAAATTGGGTTTTACAAGGTTTTTATAATTAATGGTTTGTACTGCTTGTAAACAAAAAAGGTAACTTAATTTTCCAGTCCACATTATGATTTGATTCTAGTCTAGACAACCATGAAACATTGGGTATATGTTTCACCTTAGTACGGAACTTATCAACACTGCATAACCGGTGACCTGGCTAAATGTAGAGCCGAAAACCTTCAATACTCACAACAATCATTCTACCCTTCAGGGTTATTAAGTTGACTTCCGATAGTTTCTTTTAGTCAGCTCGCTAGAATGCTCAGTATCGTGATATAAACAGAAAATTGGGTGATTTCCACAAAATTCTTATGCTAATAACTTCATTTGTTCAATATATATATATATATTTTTAAAGCTCTCCTCAAATTCTTATATTTGAAGAATGAATTCCACATTGATATAAAGATACAAATAAATTACTATTCATTATTTTTATCGCTTAGTTACTTAGTAAATGAGTTGCTTTTTTTCGTCTTCCGTTTATCGTAAGCCTTCGTCAAACCCGCTAACTTTTATCATACTACTTAATGTTCTTAATTCACACCCGATCAATTATTTACAGCTTGCCTTATTCACTAAGTATAACTGTTACTTTTCAATTTATAGTGTGATGTGGTCCAGTATATTTGTATATGATTGAAGTATGAGTCTTACCTAGTGAGTGAGTTTGTTCAATTACTTAAAGTAAAAATATAATGTAAAAGCTTTTAGTAAAACCAATTTGGTAGTAAAGATACTCATCGATTTCATAGGAACGTTGGACAACAGAACACAACGTTATACAACCAGTTTATGACCAAAGTTAATCTCAACTTCCATCATTGTATTTTAATCTTATGGTTAGACAGGAGGATACTCATCAGATAACCTTAAGTATAAATAATATTAAGTGTGAACCAAGTGTATATTAAAACTCTTGTGGAAATAATTGTCATAAAAGGTGTTATTCGATAATAAAATAATACAATTACAATTTGAATAACTATATTCATCTTTAATGCTATAAACTATAAGTAGGTACATTTTATTGGGACAATAAACAGTTCATTAAAGCACATTAATATAAAGACCCAAATTGATATAAATAATGAAGCGATGTATAAAAAGATAGTGTAAAATCTACAGAACAATTCTTTGTAAACAACACATACACACAAAAAAATTGAGAATAATAAAAACTTTATAACTCTGATTATGTTCATTATTTGAATCAGAATGTATGAGGTAATAATAATAATAATAAATATTTGCTAAAGATCATAAAAATTACTTTAAAAAATCAAGAATATTTGAGCGAACAATAGTCTTCAATAACTTCATCATCAGGTTCTACAGTTATAAGTCCATAATTATTGTGATATTTTACAAAGGCCAAAATAAGTCATATATATATAATGACTTTGACAATGTTATATGTTAAAAAGTAGTAAACGTTTGTATCTGTTACGACATATATACTTCGATGGAGGTTTCTTCTCTGAGCTGGACGGTTTAGTCATGGAGCTTACATCGTTCTTCTGAACGACATCATCAGCAGAAACTTCAGATAGATCTACCTGAGCTACAAATCTCCACCATCTCAAAAACATAAATACGTCAAAATTGTGTTATTTATAAATTAGAAGAGTCAGAATGATTTGGAGTAAAGTGTCCAGTCACAATCAATAGAATAGTAATATGGCAAAAATAAAAATGTAAAACATCGTGTGAATAAAATGCATAGTAGGAGAATTTCATCTTGTCAATTGAGATGATGATGATAATAATAATCTTGTTATGTGAATATAATATGTAATGCGTGGGGTGTTATCAAGGTAATTATGATAAACATATTGGGAATAATGGATGTGAAGATTAAGATATAGGTAATCAAAAAATAAGAAGAAAAAAGGAAGGGAGTAAGTGGTTTATAATATTCAGTCTAGATATTCGGTGATCCAGTTGTAGGCCAAGATAACCATAGTGGCTAGATATACCTTTTTTAAATACATAAATTTAACATTTCCAAAGTCATTAATACATACCTTATTTTGGCCTTTGTAAAATATTACAATAATTATGAACTTATAACTGTAGAACATGATAATGAAGTTATTAAAAACAAATATTCTTCATTTTTCAATATTCTATGGAGATTTTTCAACTGCTGAAAATTGCTTTACACAATCCAATTTTAATTATCCTCTATAAATGTTTTTATTGAATAAACTTATTGATTGATCATTCAATAAATAATATAAATAATCAAGCTGACTATCCTACTCTTAAAACAATAATAATAGTAATAATACTTATTATTATTATTATTCGAATCACTCAATTCAGATAAATTATTCATTATTTTTTTGTTGTTAAAAATAAAGTAATATTTTTTTGTTTTTTCGTTTGTTTTTCTTAGTTTTTAAATAGGGTTTTCGTCGTTGTTGTTGTTTTGTTTAATTGTTTCTAACTGAATAAACAAAATATAAACTTTGTTTGATCGTTTCTTTTTATGACAATAATCATTAAGTGAATCATATAATATACATGGTAAACAAAATAAGTTTATATATATATATATATATATATATATATATATATATATATATATATATATATATATATATATATATATATGTAAACGATTAACCAATAGTATTCTCAGTATAGAGGTTGTGGAGATTATTAAGTTTTTGATTAAGATTATGAACCGATTGATGTTAGACCACCGTTGGAAACCTGTAAGCACCGGACGGTCGTTTCATCCTGATGTGGGACTCTTCAGCGGTACACATTCAGAATACCATCACGCGAGACTCGGACCCAGGACGTATCATTTTCGCGCGCGAACGCTCAACCTACTGGACCACTGAGCCGTTATCCAGTGGTGTTAGTGTCTAACATCAACCAATCCACGAAATTAAGCGACTACCTTCCATTGCCCTGGGTTCAAATCCCGCGAGCGGGATCGTGGATGTGCACTACTAAGGAGTCCCACAATGGAACGAAACAGCCGTCCAATGCTTCCAGGTTTCCAACGGTGGTCTAACATCAATCGGTTCATGATCTCAATCAATAACCAATAATATATATATATATATATATATATATATATATATATATTTTGATGACTTTGCTTTTGATTACTATTCTGAAGACAAGTTAGCTGGACGAAACGTTGGAATTATTTTGAATTCCAATCGCTGAGACTATTTCAAATATAATTTTCACATATAATGCGTTATTATTATTATTATTAATTGATCATACTGTTGTGAATGAACACTTAGATGGTGATAATCCATGTGTTAAAGTCCTGGATTTAATCCCATGCGAGTCGGTGGATATTCACTGTTAATTAGTCTTATACTAGGACAAAATAAATGTCCAGTTCCTCTGATTTTATTCATTCTCTAGTGTTCCTGTTTCAAATTATAATAACACTTCAGTTAATAAGTTGAATTTTAATGATATAAGAATCCTACAACACGAATTTCACTACTTCTGATGGTTTGTACAAAATTAGTTTGTGCAGTAAGCCTACTCCGAATTCTCGAAAAATTGCGATACGCATATTGCTGGAAAGAGAACTACATGTGATAATGTAATAATATCATGACTGAAGTTGATCCCTACAGAACAAGACGTTCATGATTAGTGTATGAACAGATAATTTTTTTATCAAAACAAGTTTACCTTAAACTCATACTGAAGTAAACGTTCAATGTTTTCTCGGTTCTCAGTGGTTGTTTAGCTTAAATTAGTTATTGATTTAAACCATAAAAATCCTAGAATCTCCACAAATCCTCCTGTACTGATAGCTATTATTTATCATCAATAAAGGGTTGTGGAGATTGCTGAGTTTCATTGAGGTCATGAACCAATCTAGGACTACCATTGAAGACTTGGAATTACTGGACGGCCGTTTTGTTTTAGTGCTCCACCTAGCCACATATGATGGTAAAGCCTACTGGCTTGCCTGGACACTCATTGATGATCTGACCACAACTGTCGGAGCTCAATAGCTCTTTCTCTTTTGGACTCATTTTCTCACTCCTGGTGATTTCAAACCACTTGTGAACCACAAAACAATGATTGATTATCCCACTTCACGTCGATAATGCTTTTGTACAGTTTCCATACAAACATCTGTACAATTAATCATCTGTATTTCGTTTTTATTTGTTCTTGCTTTTCGTATTAGTCGGGACCACACAGCTTTTCCCTGATTTCATCCCGTCATTTCTTTGTCAGTTTCAGTTAT